CATAAATTGTCACTGGTGAGAGTATGATGGTATGTGATATTATTCCACTGTTGAAAACAACTATAATGTATTACTGCAGAGCCAGATTCAGGGCTAGGAAAGTTGGGTAAAGATCCTTTCCTGGGGCTCTCTGTGAATCTCTGCTGTTTCTAGTGAAACTGGACTGATTTATGGTTGTGTCAGGAAACTAGAAGTGGCCCGACATAGATCCAGATCCAGAGGCAAATGTCCTTAAAACTGAGTGTTCCATTGTGTGTATGTGCGGATATGTGTATGGGGGATGGAGAATGCGTTTAGCTTGTTACTAAATTGGAACAGATGTCGGATCTGGAATCGGAGATTTTGGTTCTTCTCCTTTTCTTGTGGAAACAATGCAAAGCTATCTTTTCAGCTGGCAAGTTGTAGCTGGTGTGTGGCTTTGGTCTCAGCTTTGTTACCCTTCAAGCTCTGAGGTTTATCCGAACTGAAACACAAAATACAATTCAAATGTTATGATCTCAGAAAACCAAAATGGAAATAGAGGTTGGTAACAAATGCTGATAATTCTAGGTCAGAAACCTTTCAAAGTCCCTTGTGCTTCAGTACTGTTATTCTAAATGGGTCAGACTGAGTAGGCAGCCCAAGATCGTATATAAAAAAATAGATGATGCTTATGCTACACGTGATAGAACTGAAAATGAGACTATATTTTCTTAAGACTTAATCCTCTTATTTGCTATTTTGAATCGTGGCTAAGAAAAACCGTGTATGAAACAAACGGACAAAACCAGCATGCAAGAGAGAAACTAATGAACGTACATACTGAAAGGGAACATTTTATTCTCCCCAAGTAATTCATGCCATTTTATGGTTTATTTGAAATGAAGTAGTCAGTCCTGGCGGGATAGTGAGCAACTTGGCACATGTGTTCAGTTGCATCCATGGAGAAAAGAAACAGTTCTTTCTGGAAGAAAGTCAGTATGTGAATATGAGAGAACTTTTTCAGAGCTGGTCGTGTAGGGTGAGACGTCAAAAGCAGCTGGTGCTGGCCAACCATACCTGGCACTATAGACAAATACAATTTCAACAGGGCTTCAACAGGGACGGAGTTATACCAGCACCAAGAGTTTCTGGAAAATCTTAACCATGAAAGAGCCTTCTCTTCTCAAGCCAGGCTGTATCCTCCTGTAACCAGCTTTTCAGGAGAAAAAGAGAAGTTGGCCTGAGGTTAACCACCACATGCCCAGCTGGGACCAGCTCAGAGATGGTGAATGTAGAAATGCTTAAAGTATACTCCTTAGTCAAAACGAGAGCTATTTGCTTAATATCAAAACACCCTTTAGCAATTTCTTAGAATTACAGTTAGTCATTTCCAAGTCCTACCTACTCTTTTTATTTAACTATAACACCAAAAAGCTTTATTCAAAGGGTTAATATCCTAGGGTGCTGGTGTCACGCACATATCAGAACCTCATTGCTGCCCTCAAAAAGTTTTAAGTTTTAAAGACTTATTTATGTTTGTCTAGCTTTGAAGAGTTCATGACAATCTGTCCTGTACAGTATTATACATTGTTCTGCCAGTACTGAGTTTTTCATTTGATAAAAAACAGGTCTGCTTCACTGCTACAGCTTCCCCATCAAATTCCTTCCTCCACTAACATTTCAATGGGATTGAAAAGTGGGTGTATTAAGAAGCAGAGAGAGGAAACCATAACGGGGTGTCTGTAATACTTCCTATCTTCAAGTGTCACGTTCTCCAGCCTTTCTCCTCGCTTGAGAAACATGAAGTCGGATCTCACTTACTCAGTAGAGTAAGGTCAGAATGGTGCTTACATAGAGTACCCCGTGGGGTTGAAAGCACACACAGCAAGAAGTTTGTTTTAGGACTTACTAGATGGCATGCTGCCTTGGAAGGCAGTGCTGTAGTATAATCATCAGGATGCCTTATAAAAACAGATCTGAGGGAGTACAAAAGCAAGCTATTTGCAGTGCACAGCAATACATTTTATATTGAGCGTACACCACCAAGGTATTTTTCTGTACTTCTGAGCACATCTGCAGACACCCCTACAACTGTGTACCTGAGGAAGTTCTCTCTTCCCAATGTGAAATAAAGACCAAAGAGTAACAGCATGTGGGCATAAAAATTAATGTGATAGTTCACATAAAACGTAAAAAGGGGGAGTATGTAATACTCTGGTTTTCTGAATTTCATTTCTAACCATTTAATTCTGACCACCTCAAGTCTTCCTGCACTTTAACTTAACTACAGCCTTTTTGTCACTTCCCATCATGAAAATCACACAGTGTTTCTGTGAGATGATAAACAGGTGTTACTTTTCATTCTGGCAGCAATGGCATTTTGGTGCAGGATGAAATAATCCTATCATTAAATAAGAAGCTCACAGTGGTGTCGTGAAGCTTAATTTGTTTGGAAAATGCTTTGCAGTATTCAGATGAAAGGCACTCTGGATATTCAAAGTATTATTACTGCACAGCTGGTGGTCTACACACTGCAGATGTTTATTCCATGCTGTTGCATGGTTACTTAAGTGGCTTCTTAGCGCAGATGTTCACAAGTGAGCATGCACAGCCTCCTCTGCCTATGTTTCTTGACACGGATTTTATTGCTGCTTGACTTTTGATCTTAAAAAGAATATTCCTTCACTGGTGAGGTGCTACGTGTGTGTGTGACTACGTCTCTGTTGGTTCAGCCCCCATTGCAAACAAGAGCATCTGCAGATATTTACTGTAGGCCTTTCTCTTTAGCCTCTATTTCCTTCTGTGGCTTTTACTCATTCCCACAGTGTTCGACTCTGGGGACTCTGCCTCTTAATATTCCATCACCATCACTCACTTCATGCAGACGTGATGATTCCCTTTGTACTCTTTGCCCAGATGGGATCAAGAGCTTCATTGCCTCTTGATTCTTTCTTTCCATGACTGCTGCTACTGTTACATAAAGGGGTCTCTAAGAACTTCTGGGCTGCCATTCACAATAATATAATCTCTCTGAGAAGGTTTCAAGATAAGATGAAATTTCTGCATGTATGCAGCTATTCTTTCCTTGCAAGTAAAGAGAGGTAAGGTCTGACTGCAGCTGACATCCACTGAGTGTGCTGAACATGCACAGATCTCCATGGAGGTGTTATATGATTTCATCAACCCATTAGGCAAGAGAACTAATGTTAAAATTTAAGTTCCTCTTGTTTTGCTGTAATTCCAGCAAATGTCAAGATACCCAGTGCAATAAATACAAGGGCAGCTGAGGAAACAAGACTTAACGTCTAACCTGAAGTGCAATGCATATTGCATTACTGACCTAGGAGCAGAAAATGAGTGAATCTCTACACATGCACACACGCAGAGAAAGAGGAAAATACAGCAGAATGGTACTGCTTCTGGTTAGCATAGATGTTATTTACAAGATTCACATGGAAGGGGGATTTGGTAAAACATACTTGAGTGTTTCTTCTGAAGTATTTTGAAGAATAGGTCTCTTGACAGCATGCTCAAGAGCCACTATCTTGCAACTCAGAAGAATGAGTCCTGACTGCTTATCTCTAAAGAGACTGAGAAAGCAGAAGCTTAAAGCTGACTACACTTAGACAGGAAACTTCAGAGAGCAGGGTGAAATCACATCACTTTCTGTAGCACTGGGAAAGGATTGGTGACAGTCAACATGGCTTCACGAAGAGCAAATCATGCCTGACAAATTTGGTGACCTTCTATGATGGGGTTGTGGTGTTAGTGAATAAAAGTGCCTGATGTAATCTACCTTTGGTGCATTCCTTTGCTCATTCTGATTAGGTAACTCAGCTGAAATCTTGTCGTCGTATGGGTAGCATTTGAATGCCTGTCATCTGATTCATGATGATGTGAACATTCATGATTTACTACTGCTTGGTATCAAAAGTTTAATTTGCACATGATAAAAGCTGCATTAAATCACTGGCCCCTGATTAGCAGCTGAAAATCAATCAGGAGGGGCTTTTGCTCCTGCCACTTTGGCTTGAGATTGAAACATTTCATGCAGTAGCTCTGCTAGGGGTAAGCTGGGCTGCCTTACTAACGTAATAAAACACAGACCATCCTAAGGGGATGAGGGAGTTGCATTCCAAAACTTGCACTGCAAGCGACCAGAATTTAATGGAAAACTTTGAAAAGATTCTATTAAAAACCAGTTTTCCTTCAATATATCATATGCTCTATTTTATGCTTTCCCTGCTCCCTCTTTTTTTTTTTTCCTTACTGGCACAAAACCCAGGATCTTTGTTTTGACAGAGCTAATCCGCTCCTGCTTTCGTACTGGCCCTCGGGCTCCCCACCTGTGGAAAGATCCATGGGAGCAGAAAAAGTGCTGAGCAGTTGCCACATGCTCACCTTAAAGGGAAGAAATCAGTGGCCTCTCAGAAACTGGGACTGAAAACACTGTGCTTTCTGAGTACCCATGGAGAACATGAACTATGAGTCCTGTGCAACCTCCAGCAACAGCTTTTCCTTCCATATTGCCTTCTGGGATTTCTCTCTCTTGTCAGCTGGGCTTCTTAAGGAGCTGTGCTGTATGGGCTGCCTTGCTGCCATGCTGCCTCCCTCTTCCCAAAGGCACACTCAGTGCTGACAGTTCCTACCCGCAAGCTTTGCTGGTGAGAAAGGTTTTGAGTAGCTTGCAACCACTGCCAAGTTTGACAGCAAGCTGCGTAACAAACTGGTGCAGCCCTGAGATCTCTCTGCTGCTTCTGTGGGGAGACAAGGAAAGATTTTATGGAGTGAAAAGTGATGGAGAGAGGATTAATTGCTTTGTGGCTCCATCAGGCAGCATGTTTAAGGTGGCTAACATCAGGCATTGATCTGCTCCATAGAATCTCTGCTTAGCCAACAAAAAGTGGCAAAGTCAAGTTCAGATGTTTAGGGCTTTGTATACAAGACTAAGCCCATAATTTATCTTAGCATCTTTGTCATTTGGCATCACACACAGATGATCAGGGAAATAACCTGTGGTCATGATTTTTCTGTTATAGGAAGGGTTTGCTCCTGCTCATGGCTAGCATTTCTCTTTAAAGACTGCTGGTGCACATCAGCCTTTGTATTTAGGCAAGTAAGTGGCTGTGCCCAAACAACACAGTGAAAGTTAAGTTTGTCATGAAGGAGAACAAAGCATGGCTCCATCTGGTCAAGTCATCTCATCCCACCTCACCGAGAAAGAGGTCATTCCGACTTTGTAACATCCATGTGGGTTCCTGTGGCTCCTAGGCCAGGCTTATATGTTGTGGAGTCGCTATGTCTAGCACAGGAAATTTTAATGCGTAGCATTTTAATTAAGGAAGCTTGAACTGAATGTTTTGTTGTGTGCTCAAGGAGTCTGAATCCTTCAAAGCCTTGAAGTACAGAACTGCAAAAAAATAAAAAAGGCTGATGACAGTTCTGAGTCTTGGCTCCTCTGCTGTCAGTAGGAAAATCCCCATCCATTTCACTGGAGCCAGTGTTTCATCCACTGTGTTTTCAGGCTCTGTACAGTGGTTTGCAAATGAGATCTTGCAGTCAGGAAGGTTAAAGAACTGTGGTAGCATGCAGAACATGTCTTATCCAGAGCTTTCTGCATACAAAGTAGCAGGCTAAGTCAAACTGACCAGAGACCAGAAACCAGGTCTCTGCCTCCTGACCGAGTCCTGTGTCACTATCAAACTGTTATGTTCACCCTTTCTATTGAATATTGTATGGGACCATGGCAGCACTGCTGCTGTTTTAAGATAACTGTTCTTGGTGGGTAGGAGGACCTCTCTGTCAGAGTGACAGTCAAATTAATGCCTGAGACTGCTCACATGGTCTTGAGAACACGCAGAGCAGAAGCAGAGGTGCCTGAGGAAACATGAAAACGGGAACTGAATATCCAGCATGGATATCCAGCAAATAATAAATATCTATCAAACTAAATATGCAGTAAGGTCAGCCTCAAAATGGGCAGGGCAACCAAGATGGGACTGCAGCTTTGCATTTGCGTGTTTGAATCCTGCCTAAATCACGCTTTATGTGCCCATATTTGTATGGGTCTGGGCCAGGACCACACAGAAGCCATAAAGCCAGGACCACAGTGGTTAATTAAAAAGATTCAGTTTAAGCTGGCTCTTATGCCACTTCTCACAAGTCCCATTTTTAGCAGTTATCTTTGATGAAGACCAAAGAGGGAGACCTCTGAGACAAAATGCACTGTATGTTACAGGCTGGGAGGTGGCATGCTTATTGAGCCTGATTTTGCCAAAACAAGATTTTTGGCCTTTGTTTTGTAAAAGGAGCAAGATAAGGAGGAAAGCTGTTTTCTAAGTGGCCGTCTCCTGCGTGCCCTTTCCCTTGCTCTCTTTCTTTCATATTCCATCTGGTGCCAGTGACTTTTTAAATGCTCTGCAGCCACCTAGAGGAAAAATATGCTTGACTGAAGTTAATTTTATATGGGTTAAGCCATGGAGTGGGCTCTGCAGAGGATGAGAATGTGAATTTCTAAACTAGCCAGCCTGTTTGTTATTATATCACAAGGCCTCCTTTGAAATATATGCAGTGAATCATCAACAAAAGCAAAAGATAACTTCAGTTTATGTTTGCACTTCAGAAATATTTCCTGCTTCATGTTCTCATTGTTCTTGTTATAGAACATAACATATTTTTATGACAGATAGCATAGAAGGGCCACGGTATATTTTGTCATGAGACAGAAGGGGGTGATCTGTTTTGAATTGTTTTTTTAAGAAGATTTAAAACTTGTATTACTGTATATGCCTGTCTCATGACTATGGCAATATGTTGCTGGTATGTCTACATGGTTTATGTTTCTGTAGATTCTATCTAGGACATGTCATAGGGCTCCTGGAAAACCTCTGGCTTTTCCTCAGATGAGGACAGTCACACAGAATACACTAAGGGGCTCTCTGTCTACTAAAGCAAAAGTTGGTGAACTCAGATTCATTTAGTTTATTCCATGTTCGTTTGCACAGTATGAAACATAATAGCAAAGCTTAGCTGTTGATTGAAAGTGCCACATGGATGATGTAAAGCTAGATATTAAAACATGTCTTTTTGAAACGGAATTGGAATGACTGCTTTTTCTTCTCTTTAGATAAGATATGACAGTTCAGTCTCCACTTGTGCCTGAAGAACTGAGACTGGGTGGACTCTTCTTTAAAAAGCAAGTCTAGACATGCAGAGAAAGATAAAATTTTATGTCAATTACATAATGCAAAGGCTCAAAACAGTGATGGGTTTTCCATTGTAGCTGTGCCAGAGGACACTGAAAATTCCATTACGATGGAGTGTCTCTGTCATAAGGCAAATTCACATGAGCAGTGTGAATGCTAAGCTAAGTGTGTGCATGAAGTGAATAGAAATGTAAAAAACCTTTTAGGAAGTGACTTTCTTTCTGAACATTAAACCCATAGAGCACCTAGAGTTTTTTTCACCAGAAGGCTTTGCATGATAAGCCATATCAGGTAGCATTAGACATACTGCTACTGTAATCTTTACCAATTATTTGATGGATAGTTGCATCAAATGGGTGATAGATGGGTGACTGTGGATATTAGTTAACTGAAAAAATAAATGTCTTCAGAAAGCAGGTTCCATCTTTTGAACCTTCAGTGTCAGGATCTAGGTGGTACTCCTAAATTTGCCTCTGTATCTTTCTTTGGTCCAGACTTCTTATTATAAATGACCTCTTTATAATGAGTTTGGAAACGATGTCTGTTCTCAAGCTGAGTTATTGTAGTCCTTGTCTTTTCCAGCCAGGTGCACAAACCACAGATCATACAACATACAGGCAGACATATCCTTTGTGCAGTAACCTCACCAAAGAGGGTGGAACAAGTTGTATGTATACTGCTCAAGCAAGCAAGTAAAAGAGAGTATTTTTCGATAGTACATTTCAGTGTGATGTTGGGTACCTGTTTAATATGGGGTAAGAAACTTGTGCTGTATGTCCTCTTTATTCTAATAATTCTGTTCTGTACATTCTGTTTTGAACTATTTCACTTCAAGCTAAATGCTATACATGAACTCAAAACAACTCAAGTTCTCATGTGTACAGATATTTATTTTAAATGCCAGGACTTTAAAGGTTAAATTCTTCATGGCCCAGCTCAACTGAAAGAGGAGAGGAGGAGGTGAAAGCTCTCTCCCACATTCTGAAAGTGAGTGGCAGTGCAAGGGGTCAGCTCTTCCAGGGCTGTGGGTGGCATTTCCATCATCTGCCAGTGTTTCTTGAGCAAAAATTCACTCTCTCTAAAGGTGGCAAGTCAGCTGCTCAGCTGTACTGTAACTTTCAGCTCTAGGAAATATTCTGAGTCATACCAGATGCTTCTTGGAGCCTAGCATGGGACTTCATTGTCTTTCTCAGTCATGGTTCAGCTATTTCCCCACGGAGGGATTTTAGCCAGCCTTTCCATTCTGAGGATGAGAAAGAACATTTAAAGCCACAGATGCCTGTAAATATCCAAGCACAAGAGACAAGAAGCCTACTTGACACATTAGTAGGCTAATTATCGTGAAGAAAGAGGTAGGGGAGATTGCTGTGTTATTTTGTTCTTTATTTGGTTCTTCCTTATTACTCCCTTTTAAGTGCCTTTACCACTGCTACTTCAAATTCAGAGAGATTGTAAGTAGGTGTCAGGGTAGTGCTGTACTGAGAACATTCATTTTAAGCAGTTTTAGAAAATGTTCCAGAACATTTCATTGTTCATTTTACCATATTCTTGGGGGTATGTTGGTGAAGGCAATGAAACACAATTTTGGCACAGATTGCTCTTTATAGAAAGGTTAAAAATACTTTTTGGCTTTAACCAATGCTTTTGGAGAATACTTTTAGTAGTACATAGCATAGGCTTGGGGTGATATTGTGCAGCACAGTACTTCTTTTTTCAGGGGTTTACATGGACATTCATTTATTCAGTGCCTGGAAAATACCATTTTTTGTTACCCTTTGTGAAGAAAGTATGGGTTTTGACTGCTTTTAAAGGAGATGGATATGCAGAGAAATGAAAAATGAATTGCTGTTTATTTCTGCTACATTGGAAATTACCAACAATAATTACCACTTGCATTTACAGCATCCTTTTCCTGAGTTGACTGAAGTCTTCTAAATAACTGCTTTGAAAGTGCCTTGGCAAGGCAGGGATGAATGTGGGTATCTTGTGTGATTCTGTTTAATTATCTCTGAGTGTGAAGTCTATATCTGGAGCAGGAACAATGGCACTCAGATTTAAATTAGGACTCTTCAATGTATGTGTAGCATGACTGCTATGCCCTAGAAATCTTAGATCACACACAGCTCTTGCCCTTTGGTGGAGTTGCGTATTCTATCATTTCTTTCCGCTTGGCTCCATGTGGCAATAGAGTCCATGGCTGAGTCAAAAGTCACACAAAAATTTGGGATCAGAATGAAATTTGAATGTGTGAGTCAAATGCCTACTACTGCAAACTCCTCCTCTGCAATCTGCCAAAAACAGCTGCGATATTCTCAGGCATTATGGCCAATGCTCTCTTTATAGAAATGAGATTTCCCCTTGGAAAGCATATGCCTGCAGTAGATTTGCTGTGCACTCATCAAAGATGAGCTGTGAGTTTCTTTTCTGATCCCACATATTTTAGGGTTTTTTTGGAGCCAGTTCAGCAGTGTGGGAGTTCTGGTACCATGGGGGAGTCTCCAGTACAAATCACATATATGCTGCCTGCCACTTTTACCAGGCACCCTCCCACTTTCCAGAAAAAAGAGTTAGGGCAGTTATGGTTTAACTTTGTGATGGATGACTTTATCAGATCCCCAAGGCGATGTTACCATTGTTATGATGTGTAGGAAAAACATAGAGGGAGTGCAGATATAGTTACCTGGCCTTGGAAGAAATGATCCTTGAAAATGAGTGCCTTTGCTGCATGAAGCAGTCTGTTCCCCAGGCAAGTGCTTTGAACAAATACTCAATAGATGTAAGGGCTTCTGTGTTTTCAGCAACTTCCAAAACTACCTTCCTCCTAAGATACTTGCTGCTTTTGCATCAATACTAGTAAATTCTGGCGAAAGAGAGAATGATCTCAAGCCTCTGATCTCAAGCCTCAAAGCCATAGTCTCCAGCTCTACATACCTTGCTTCAATACTTCAGTAAGATTAAATATGCACATACAGACAAGAGAGAGCTTGTGATAGCAACAGCATGAGCCTTTCCATTATACATCAGAATATGGCTCAGCTTCTCATCTTCTAACCTTGTGAAATGACTTCTCTATCTGGGACCATAAGTAATGGCAACTCATTGAAACTTTGTAGGGAAACCAAACCAAACAAACTTTCTTATAACAACATAATAACTGGCGTATGGCAATTTTCCTAACTAGTGCTAAATTAGACCAAGCTTTGTGCTAAAACCTTTGATTTAGCATACACACTAAGGAGTTACCCTAAGAAGTCTGTCTCATGGGATGGTGGGGCTGGAAATCAGTTCTCCCCTCTAGGTAGATAACCCTTCAGGCTTTGGAGTTCGCAAGTGTACAGTTTATCCCAGGTACAAACCCCTTTACCTCCTGATGCCTCTCTTCACATACATAAAACAAATGTAGTGATGCAATCTCTAATTGCTTTTGTAAAGTCTGTTGAGACCTCCTGGTAGAAAGAGGAAGATGTTCCTATTTGTATAGATCCACTTCTTGAAGGCATCGGGAGGTTTGAAAAATGCCCTGCATCAAACTCCTGTTGTGAAATGTGGAAAAAGAGCCCATCCAAAAAGAAATAGTCCCTCCTAAAATCCCAGTCTGGTTTGAGTTGGAAGGTCCCCAATGCTCATCCAGTTCCAACCCCCTGCCATGGGCAGGGACACCTTCCACTAGAGCAGGTTGCTCCAAACCCCATCCACCCTGGCCTTGAACACTGCCAGGGATGGGGCAGCCACAGCTTCTCTGGGCCAATGTCTCACCACCCTCACAGGGAAGAACTTCTGCCTAAGAGCTCATCTCAGTCTCCCCTCTGGCAGGTTAAAGCCATTCCCCTTGTCCTGTATGTACATGTTCTTGTAGAAGCCCCTCTCCAGATTTCTTGTCAGCCGTTTTTAGGTATTGGAAGACTATTATAAGGTCTCCCCAGGTTCTAGTTGTGTATTTGTGTGTACTGCAAAGGAAAAGGAACTGACCGTGTTCATCAAGTGAACATCTGCCATTTCAGTCCTGCGTGGCACTGACTAAAGCTGTAGGCTTTGTTGCTCTGATCTTTTCTTCTTCCTCCTTTTAATCATGCGTGTAGCACAGGACTCAGTTCTTTGCCCTTTTGTGGGACTTGGAGACTTTCCATAGTTTAATGTGAAAAATGGCTGTTGTTGAAGGAGTGTACTCATGCAGTTCTCTTTGAAGATGTGGCAGCAGAGTGTGTGTGTGTTTGTCTCCTCCAAGGGTGTGTCCCACAGCTGCCGGATGCCTTCACTTTCATGGATTTCCCCTTGCAGCAGTTGGTGATTATACACCCCTGATTAGCGGCATCTCTGATACACACCCTGCAGGCAGCATCCACAGCATCAAAAGGCATCACAGTGAGGCACTTGGTACCAGCTGAGGACTGAGAGGTGGGCTGTGCTCTGGTGCTTATTTGAAGCAGGGTCTCCAGATAAAGCGCACCATCACAAATGAATGTAAATACGTAAATATGTCCTTAAAAGTAATGTCATTTTGTTTTGGATGACAACATCATTGCCTCTCTGTATGATTTCACTGAGAGCAGAGCTAAGCTGCCCAGAAATATCTTGTGTGTATTTCTGTAGCTGGTAAAATGGCTTCTTTCATAAGTAACTTGCCCTGCAATTTTATGAGATTATTTCTGTATGAATGTAATGGATTTATATTGAAGCTTCATTTAAGCAAATATTTTGGTCTTGGTAAAGTGTCACAGTACCTTGGAAGACCCAAAGTCTCTGTTAGTGTGCAGTGTGGTACCTTGTCAGTACAACTTCATTATTGGCTTAATTCCGGAGTTTTACTAGAATTTTATTTTCCTGTTGCTTGTCAGTCAGATTAGAGTACAGCTAAACCTCTACACATATGCAGTTAGTGTCACCGAATCTATTTATCATACCCTGCTCCTTCAACTTCCAATTCATCTAACTGCAATTAATACTAATGCATTAAACTTGTCACCAAGGAATTTCATTAAAGGAGGAAAAAAAGGGTTTATTTTGATTGATACTTCTTAGCAGCTGTGGATATTGTTTCCTTTACCCTCATTTTTCATTTAATGGTAGTTAATATATTCTTAGAAATAATTATCAATTGTAATTCATTAATAAACCTGCCGCAATCTGATGATTACTCTTTAGCCACGCTTAGGGCTTGAGCCCAGCAGCTGTCAACAGGATTAAACACTTCAGGAAAATAAAAGCTACCCAAGTAATTAGGTATGTAACGAATCAGAGGATTGTTTGTGTTGCATGGAGCATACTACCTTCCTTAGTGGACACACATGCTGAACACTGTATCATATCGTGCTAATTTCAGTCAAACTGGAGATGTTTCGCTCTGGAGTGAAACTCTGAGAATACAGAGTGAAACATTGAATTGGAGCAGCCTTGAACATCTCTGGATGCCAAGGGTTAATGGTGTAGTGTCACTCACATGTATAGAGGGGCTAAACTCCATGCAGCCTCAAAGAGGTTGCTTTCCTGCAGACCAAAAACAGTGCCCTGGCCTCCCTCATCCCCCAGACCATGCCCAGTCTTTGTCAGGGTGAGTGCTAGTCTTGCCACCAACGTACTGATGATTAAGAAGACTGCGTGGCTGATGGTGGTATCTTGCCATGATGGAAGCATCTGGGATAGCTGGTGGTGCATTGACTCAGTGCAGGAGATGGCATCCCCCTCTGGATAATGGAAATGTATTTATGCTCGAGAAAGCAGAGGCAGTACCTCAGGTTTAGGATTTTATAATTTCTAAGGCAGGAAGTCAGTGAACACATAGCCAACATGGTACTGGCAAACATTCCTAAATAACACAGAGTTTTATAATAACTAAGTCTGCACGGAGAGCAGCACATTGTGATTGATAAAGGAGGTTAGCACAGGGACAAAAAGATGATGAAATCATACCTTAATAATTGAATTTGTATCTGTGGACAAGGGTACGTAGGGACAGGGCAAGGGGGCATGGCTTTAAACTGACAGAGGCGAGACTGGGATGAGCTCTTAGGCAGAAGTTCTTCCCTGTGCAGATGCTGAGGTGCTGGCACAGGGTGCCCAGAGAAGCTGTGGCTGCCCCATCCCTGGCAGTGTTCAAGGCCAGGTTGGACACAGGGGCTTGAAGCAACCTGCTCTAGTGGAAGGTGTCCCTGCCCATGGCAGGGGTTGGAGCTGGATGAGCTTTGGGGTCCCTTCCAACCCAAATGATCCTCTGGTTCTAAGATTATTACAGGCTCCCTTTGTGCTAATAATTTGCTGCACCAGCAAACCAGCATCTACTTCACTGTAAAATGAGACATACACCTCCTAAATGCTGTGGGGTATATGGAGCAGTGCCAGCTGCAGGGATGCTAGCAAGACATCACAAACATGTTGTGGCCAAAGGAAACAGTGTAAACTCGTTTAGTGTGTCACATAAAAAGGTGACCCTTTGTGCTTATACAAGGCCTTTTATCAGCTAACAACATCAAACAATGCCAGGGATGCTGTGCTAATCTCTTTCTTGCAGCCCATCAGCTGTGATACCCATACAGCAACATCTGTTACTGGGAAAGATGTAAAGGGACCTACCACAGAACTAAAGTGAAATAAAATTGCATCATCCCTAGAAAGTAATTTCAAATGAAAACCGCTGGTTTGTAGAAACAAGCATGTTGTAGACTTGCTCCAAAGCAGTTCTGTTTGTTCACAGTAAGCATATATCAGTAATTGCAGGACAGATAACCTTTTTACGTTAGCATTTACATTGCATATTTGTCACACAGTGAATTTTTAGGTAATTTTGTGTTGGGGGTCCACTGAGAGTAAAATGAAGGAAAGCTCATGGAAACGTCAAGTATAACTGTCAGGTTTAACCACGTGGTCACTGAAAGAGCCGGTGACTTTGGCAAGGGTAAATATTCCTCTTTAAGGGGCACTGTTGGATATGCAGGAACAAGCTTGTGTGTGTTTGAAGGACCACTAATTCTCTCTCCTACTTTTGAATAAAGAGTTCTCAGTGACACTAAAGCATTGTATGGCCATTAAGGCTCCTAATTACTCTGAGGTGCTTGCACCTTTTCCAAGCTATTACCTCCTCAGCTATAGGGAAGGTTTCTGGAAAATTAAGCCTGTATCCATTCTTTTTCTATAGACAGTTGAAATTTTGGTCCACAGCAAGAGCAATTAACATGGAGAGCTCGTTTTTACTTCAGCCCTTGGTCTTTCTAGAGGATTTGCACCTCTCACACACGTAGGAAAGTCCCTGAATATGCATGGAGCAGAGGAACACCCAAGGTGCATGCACAGAGCTACTTCTGGAAAGCAGAGGAACTAAAGGCATGATTTTCAGAGGGCACCTTGTCCCTGCATTCTAATGATTCCACTCAGAGCAGTAGCTACTTGGCATTTCTGAATTTGCATTGCTGCATTTGCTGAAGCACTCAAGCATTCTGCAGATGCAGAAACTGCTGACTGCAAGTCTGCTGGCTCTTGACAGTTACAGTTTATGTCTATGCCAAATGGGCACACTCTCTGGATGAAATAACTTGAAATATAGTGGTGACACACACAGTAGCAGTTTTGCTCCCTGCCATGTTTTATGATGATTCCATCTTATGAAATGGAAGAAGAGGGTGATATTAACAAGTGCCTGTGGGATTTCCTAGCATGAGAACTGCTCAGTTATGCTGCATGAGCCCTTTTCCTTTGGAGTCTCTTAAAGTCTGGCATTTAGTAGTGATGCTGCTGAGAACACAGGCATTTAGCTATGTTGGGGCCTTCAAGGCCAAGGAGAGGTTGGAGGTAACCTAGTAGAAGGCACCATTTCTCATCCTTTGTATGGATGGGCATGTGCTAATTACCTGCAGAACTCATCCACTTAACAATGCTGCTTTTAATATTGGTATAATTATTAAATTACTACTTTGCAGGGAATAAGAAAGAAGTCTTTATCTTGTGTTGAAACAATTGTTGCAAAAATGGAGTTTGCCTTCTCCCACTGTGGTCTTGGTACTCTCTGTCTGACATTCCTTGTATCCTCTTCTCACTTTCCTGTTTTTCTGCATGGTTGTCTCCCTGATGCCCTTGAGGCTTTCTGCATCAGAGCAGCACATTTAAAAAGAGCTGAGCCCTTGGGATGTAACAGCAGAGATGTGTTTAACTTCCCTGCCATTTAGCACAAGTTGCTGTGGCATTAAATTCCATGGGACTGGAAAGTAAACAGCTCCAAACCTTGGACAGGTATCTACCAAAGCTTTCCCTGATTCTCTGTTCTGGGGCTTCGTTCTGCAGGTCCTGTGTGACTGACATGTGTGAGTGCCCGGTTCATAAAAACTGCTACTGCGAGTCATTCCTGGCGTATGCCCGAGCCTGTCAGAGGGAAGGGCTCAAAGTCCACTGGGTACCGGAGCAGACCTGTGCAGG